TAGTACAATCATAATTTGGGGGCAGTGTCCAATCAGTTCCTTTGACTTTTTATATTTGTATTTTTTTGCAACGTACCAACCCCTAGCTAATTAGCTGCATTATCAATCATCTGACGACTTCTCAGATGAAATTAGGTCATGTCACCACTCACCACAAAATTAATCACCTGCTAAATGTTCAGTAACAATTTGCCATAATCAAGACCCCCAAAGAAATACAAGAAAGTGAGACCCAATTTTTTCTTCTTTCATCTACCAAACAATCATCATGTTTGATTACCTACTAATAAAGTCAATCATATATTAATATATTATAGAAAAAATGTGTATGATTTTAAAAGATGTAAAATTGTGTTATTTTAAGTGAGAAAAATAGATAAATAAAGAAGAAGAAAAAGTTGACAAAAAAATATAAAGTTGTGGGTCCCACCTCTTTGTGAGAATGAAATTACATAAGTTGTGTCATTTAAAAGGATAAACACTTTTTCCATATATTATTTGGGATTTTGTTTTCTTAGGTTGCAGCAATACTATTCTCCTTTCTACACATACATAAAATTTGCACCAGCTTTTCTTTTTAATTTTTTTTATTTTAAATAATGACCCCACTTATTAATGTCTCGATAGAAAAGCATAGCTTCTCTTGTGCAACTTGCAACCGATGAAAAGCATTTCCCATATTATATATTGTAGTACTAATGAAGATTGTAAAACAATAATTAAAAAATGGGTAGAAAAGAAAATTGGTTTAGGTATGAAATCAGGGACGAAATTTTCTTTTGCACATTGATCATGGCAGTCAAAGTCATCAAAGCTATGCGTGCCCTTTGGAATCATGGTTTTCAATGAATGATCCCAGCTGATAAAATCATCTTTATCAATAAAATTAAGTTTTTTTATTCGTGCCCTTTTCAATTTTTTTTTATCAAATCGGTTTAATCCGATTCAAGTATTCTTCCTTTTTCAAATTCTGCTCAATTTGTTGGTTAAGACAATGCTATCAATAAGTAATTTAAAATTCGTCTCAATCATCAACTCATTTAAAATATTGGTTCAGTGATTCAATTGTATAAATTAAATTTATAAAATAATATATAATAAATATTAAATTATAAATATTATATTCAACAAATAAAAGTGGTTAAATGATAAGCCTTCTGATCTTCAAATACGATGACTCAAGTTCGAATCTTGTTTCTGGCGTGGATATTGGATTACAGAAACTCGAGCTAGGTTTTAAAACACTGCTATCAATCACATTTCATTCACAATGACCTTTTGCATTAATCATGTGGATGAATGCATTACTTAGTAATTAAATGTAGGAAAATAGCGTGTATATAATGCTGTTTTGGCACATATCAATTTGCCCATTTGAAAATCTGAATAAAGCATATTCCCACACTTTCAAATTTCAATAGTCAACTTTTCAATTGTTATTTAATAATTGAGCATCCAAGGAGAGACTATACATGTAGTAACACTACTAAATCAGAATGAAAAAGATAAGGTAATTATACAATAGCCTTTCCATTATGTGTTATGACCTGAAGATTTGAGAGATATAAACAACAAGGATGGACATGGGTGTCTGTGCTCTCTTTGTTTGCAATATTCCCCAGACACCAAAATCACAGATCACAGCTAAGAAGTCAGGTGTTGAAATTTGTCTTTTCATAAAGAAACCAGACACGAGATGGTGGCTGTGAGGGAAAGGAAAGTTTATTATCAAATTCCACTTATTGCATTGAAGAAAGCAATGAGGGATAATTATACGCATTCCATAGCTTAGCCACTATTAGTAAGGTGGGGACGCTTGTTTGATTTTGCTTCCCATGTTTATATGAATTTTATAAAAAGTGCAATAGATTTAGATACACCTCTCAATATTTGTTCTTATTTAGCTTAGGGGAAAAAAAATAGTTCCTTTTCAGCCTCTTGCCCCCATCCCATACCCCTCCTTTTATTTTTCGCTTTTTTCCCCTCAAAGTTTGGCAAGGGGTGTGGCGTGCTTTTGTCAAAGTATGCTAATTGCACCCCAAATATGCAAACTGGTTAAAGAAGAAACATTGGTTGTATTATAGGATGGGGACGGGAACAGGCTAAAGGTTCATGACCATAATTCATGTCCATAACCTTAGATAGCATTATTAAGAACAGTGTTCTGAATCCATTAGAATCAATACACTAAAATTTATTCTTAATTTAGGCATACACAAAAAGATAAATTACATTAAGATGCTATCTTCTTAAATGTACGCAATATATCATAAATACACACAATTGGTGCTACTTTCATGTCACTACTAGAAAAGTGAGTATCTTCGACGGAATGAGCCAATATAACATATTGATCTTATTTATTTTAATAAGAATACTCACGCATTTAAAAATCGAAGATTAAATTATAATAGGTGACATGTTCCGTGCGTTATGTTCAGTTGAGATATCTATACAAATGGATTAAATTACATGGTAATATTAGTCACGGATAGGTTATGTCGAATCAATGATATTTGCGTAGCTTGGGTATCGATGATGTATGGCTAGATGTCCCTCTCTATTTATAAGACTAAAATAACATTTTATTGTTGTTGTCAACGTATTGGGAATCTAAATGTTTACACATTTGGAATGGATTGAAAACAATGTTCCTAAGTTGACCAAAATGTACACACATATACATCCTTATGTTTGTCCGGATATATGTATGTATGCAATAGCCATAAAGCCGTGTTATGGATATTATCTCAATGATATGGTGACTAATTTCACAACTTGTTGATCACGAGCACTTAGTAGCGGATTCAGAAATTTTTTTTATGTGTTGCACACTTAGAACAAGGGTTCGCGCCCCCGAATTTATTTTTTAAAGATCATGATCATGATCTAATTTTTACTTTTACTTCAAAAGTAAAGGAAATAATCAACCAAAATTTTAAGGAAATAATCAATAACAATAATTAAAAAAAATAAACACCATAAAAGACATTTGTAAAATATAGTATAATTATAGGGGTTAATCGATCAAAAACTCACCTTTGTCGATGTCTATTTGATCCAAAGTTGACCACTTTTGTTTTAAAAAAAACGTAAAAAAAAATTCCATGTAATTCTCTTTCACTTGACGAAGATTGAATTTCAAGAATCGTTAGATGTCTATTAAGATTTGGAGCTAATAAGGTTTATATTTAAAAAAAAAAAAGACAAAGAAATGGACTAGGATTTAAGCTTTAAGTTTTTAATTGTAGGGATTTGTTGAGTTGGGCCTATCTTTACCTTTTTCCTTTCAATCTTTCTATTTCTTTTTTTTTTTACTTGACCTAAAATCCTAAATCACCCATCCCATGTGAAAAAAAAAATCTCCAACTTTGTGTCTACAAGTGCAGACAAGTGAAACAACTTGGATCCGCCATTGCGAGCACTGTAAGGTTGTTGTGCCTTTGCAATATCTATATAAATAAATTAAAATTAGAGTCTCACGCATGTTGTGATACTAGTTTTGTGAAGGGAGTGTTTGTTTGGAAATGGATCCTCTCATATGGAAAAAAAAATGATATAGTTATGTGAAAAGATCACAATCATACAAAAGTAAATCAACGATTATGATTTCGTAACTACCTATTTTAAATTTTTTTTTCTCTCCTCCTTTATTACCATTGGTCCACCTTTGTATGATTATGATTCTCCACATGACATGGTCATGTGAATTTTCACATGAGAGGATCCAGATCTGTGTTTGTTTACTTAGTTCCTAACCTCCTGGAAACTCAACAACCCTTTCATATACAAATCTTGAACAAGGGGTCAAAGTACAAATTACTATTACCCTTAATATACTGGTAAGTGGAGTTGACAGAAAAATCCTCGTTGTCTATGAAGCACCGACATTTCTCGACACTCCGACACTTTCTACACTCCAATACTCATTGCAAAAAGTTCAAAGGTTACATTGTGTTGTATTTTAAGTTTCAACTATTAGATTTGTTAGATTACGATTACGATTTTATTGAGTTTAATATAAATATTTGGGATATCTTATGTTTCTTTGCAAAATTGATGTATATTATAAGTTTAATTTTATTTTTTTGTTAAATTATTGAATACTAAATATAATATACAATACATAAATTAAAAATATTATATAATATCAAAATGTGTCCTAACGTGTTGAAACTTAACATTTTTTAGAATTAACGTGTCGGAATGTCGTGTCGTATCCCGTGTCCCGTGTCGGTGTCGGTGCAACATAGCTCGTCATCACTAATGAACCAAGTTACCAAGATCAACTTTTTTATGCCAACAATTACTAATAACTAATATTTAAATACTACCATAAGTTTTTGTTGGGATTGTGACATAACTTAATCATAAAATAAGTTTATAAACTTCGAGTCCCCTTATTTTTTTTTTTTTATATATAAAAAAGTTACAAGCATGTATTGTGAAAAATAATTTTTAAAAAATAAATCAATAAGATAACGAAATTAAATATGTTCACTTCAACTTTTTTCTTTTTTAAACAATCACTTCAACTTCTGAAAATTATAAATCTGAATTAATCAAACTCAAACAAGAGAAGTTATATTTACAATTTTTTTTTATACAACCTTTCAAAATCACTTTTGTTATTGTTTGATTAAAATCAAATCAACGATAACATAGTGATATCAAGTGAGAGCTCTTAATTTAATTTTGATTCAGCAATAATAAAAATAATTTTAAGAAATTGTAAGGTAAAGTAAGTCGTAATAACCTTAAAAAAAAAAAGTAACATAAGGATGTTTAAATGAAAATGTTTTTTGGGCCTTGGGCATTATTATAAAGAGGTAGATGGGCTAGTCGCTAGAGTGATTTGAGTAGACCGTATTTGATAATTGGGTTTTTGTGACCTACCTATCCTTCTAAAATCTAAACCACGATTTGATGTGGGTTTTTGTGACGGTGCATTTTCATCTGGGTGTGGTCGTCCCGCACCAGAACATAACGGCGGGAAAAAAACAAAGAAAAAGAATAAAAACGCAAGTGTATGGCGGGAACAACCCTAACTTTTTCTTTCTTACTTTTTCAAATTAAATTTCATTTTAAGCAGAAATATTAATTTATTTAAACAAAACAAACACGAGACTAGACGCAAACAAATCCACCAAACGAGTATTGGAATCATTTTTCTGCAAATGGCGCAGAAGAAGAAGAAAGCTAGGGTTCCCGAAGATGAAGAAGGAATCGAAGCTGAACCTCAAAAGAACCTCTACCAGGTACTACCGTAAATTCATGCTTTGTTTTTTTTTCCTTTTTCTGAAAAAATGAAAAGCAAACAAAAAAATTAGAAACAAAACCGCATTAATTATCAAGCATTTCACCCTTCAAATTCAATTGTTAAACCGCATCTTGTCTATTAGATCATGTTATAGATGTCTAATCGAATATGCGTAAGTGAAGATTCATTATGTTGAAAGTCCTTACTCTCATCCTTTGGTAGAATCTTCAAGTTGAAATTAAAAGGACCACGAACATTTGTATTTTTTTTTGCTTATTTTCAGAAGATTAAGTTTACTCTCTAGATTAGTGATTTTGTTCCCTTTACTTGTTTCACTGTGATATATGACTTTGTTGGACATTGACTCATTGATTGGACTCTTGTAGGTTCTTGGCGTGGAAAGAACTGCATCTCAACAGGAAATAAAGAAGGCGTACTACAAGTTGGCATTGCAGCTACATCCTGATAAGAATCCTGGTGATGAGGTCATTATTTAGGGCTGCTTGACATGTCCATGATCTTTTTGTTAGCTTTTAGGTGTTGGCAGTTGTAATTCCTTGTGTTCATACAGGAAGCTAAAGAGAAATTTCAGCAACTGCAAAAAGTTATCTCAATTCTTGGGGATGAAGAGAAACGGGCCCTGTATGATCAGACTGGTTGTGTTGAGGATGCTGTGAGTGTTTTTGTTTTTTTTGTTTTTTGTTTTGGCTGCTGCAGATGAATTGATAAAGCATAGCAAATTGGATTTCATAATTGGAAATGTCTAAATATAAAGTAAATCCTTATGGTATGTTACTGTTATTGGAGGAAACTATTGTCATATAATAATTCTAGGATCTTGCTAACAAGTTCATTAAGGACACTAGTTGATTAGCCTTTAATTTTCTCTTCTAAATGCTTCTAATTACTTGAAAAAAGAAAGTAATAAATGCTTTTTGAGTTTGCTATATGTTAAATGCTGGAAGATTAGCATTAAGGATACTTGAGCCATGTCCTTTGCATCTACAAGTCATTTATCTTTTCTGAAAATCAGGATCTTGCTGGAGATGTTGTTCGGAATCTTCATGAGTTTTTCAGAACAATGTACAAGAAGGTATATGTTTTAATACATGTTTCCTGTTTCCTAATGCATTGTGGTATACTTGCTTTCATTTACGTGGTTTTGTAATATGAGCTACAGGTCTCTGAAGTTGATATTGAGGAGTTTGAAGCAAACTATAGGGGATCTGACTCGGAGAAAAATGATTTGATTGATCAATACAAGAAGTGTAAGGGTAATATGAACAGGTAGGAAAGCATCGTGGATATGTGATGTGCATGATCCATTTTTGAAGAGGCTTTGAGTTTGATATCTAGAGTTACTTCCCTTTGCAGGCTTTTCTGTTCAATGCTTTGTTCAGATCCTAAACTTGACTCGCACCGATTCAAGGATATTCTTGATGAGGCTATAGCAGCCGGTAAGAATAGTAATTAGATTTTGTTGACTGAGGTTTCAGTCAGACATTTGCTCTACATCTAAGTTTTTCTGCATGAAAAGATATATGTTGACTATCAATTGTCAGACTTGGAATGAAAGTCAATAAGAGGATGGGAGAGCATGCAATTTTTTTACTTCTACGTTTTATCACTGAGAATCAGCATATTAATATAGGCAGTCAAGGCAGACTCCATTACTATATATTATGGAATTTTCTGGGGTCGTTAAGCATCTCCCTGGTTGATTATTGGTTTTCTCTTCTCAATATTCTGTAGGAGAACTAAAGACAACAAAAGCCTACCAGAAATGGGCTAAGGAAGTATCTGAAACCAAACCTCCAACAAGTCCTTTAAGGAGGAGGGCAAAGTAAGTTGATCAAGCAGGGTTTTGCTTACACTATTTATGCTGTAATTTAGGAATGATCCATTGTTTTCTACAGGTCAAATAATCAGTCGAAAACAGACCTGTATGCAATCATTACACAACGCCTAAATGACAGGAAAGACCAGTTTGATTCAATGTTCTCGTCTCTTGTTTCAAAATATGGTGGAGGTGATATGCCAGAACCCTCTGAGGAGGAATTCGAAGCTGCACAGAGAAAGCTGGAGAGTGGAAGATCCTCAAAAAAATCAAAGCAATCAAAGCGGAAGTAAAAAGTATATGTAATTATGTATATAGTGAATTTGTTTCCGCGAACATGACATCAGCTCCTGCTTCTTAATTATCGAATGTTAAGTAGTGGTAGTTCTTTTTTTACTGAACTACTAGGGTGTTGTTTTTAATGCTTAAAGTTAATGTGACTGGTTATTTTCATAACTGAGACAGAACCATTTTACTTGTGAGTTGTGACAGTTGAGTGATTGGTATCCTTTTATAAATGTCTTATATGGATGTTTGTCGTTGCATATGAAGATTCCGTACCAACCTTGCTATGCTCACAATTGGATTTAAATGAAACATCTGTGGCATTTGCTAATCTTCAATGCACTCAGCAAATTTAGGCAGGCTTGAAATCAGCTGTAGGGTAAATACTGGTTTATGGCCTTAACAAATTTTATTGTAGGCATAGATGGTCGCTTTATGTTTGCCTAAAGTGAGATGGCCCTTTTGAAGTTTGGGATCGGCCCATATTTTGCTAAACTAAAAAGTACTTTTAAAGTGAATATTTCTTTGAAGTGTGCATGTAAGGTGTATTTATTCTTTTGAGTTTTAATAGGTTAAGATTGCGATTAGTGAAATAAAAAGTACTTCACAAGCCTTGCAAACAATTCGTCACATCCATTACTTCTTCCACTTTTCCCCTCACTTCATTGGCCTTGATTTCATTAGTGAAGCTCTGTGCAAGAATCATCGTTTTGCAATTTTCAACTAGTTAGTAAGCACGAACCTAGCCGTTTGAGTGATGATCAACAGTTCAAATGCACAAACTTTTTATAAACAAACTATTTTTTAAAATAGTTTTACGAACCCTTTTCAATCCCATTCACAAACGGAAAGTTGAAGTTCTATGATACCTGATAAAGATATTGGCGTGATAATAAACCAGATACAGGCCTTTGCTTTGAATCAGAACCATATACGACTACAATTTTATTCAGCCAAATAATTATGGATTATATTACTCTATGTTCATGAGAGTAATATAATTTTGTACAGATCCATCGATTGTTGTGTCTATTTTTCTTTTTTAATAAATAACAGAGCCTACCACGTAATTGTATTTATAACATGAGACAACGTATCTCCTATTGTATAAGAGTAAAATAGCCAATAATTATATTTTATAGTTTGGCTTTAATATTTTTGTAGATAAGTTATCTACGTTAACTCTCAAAACGACGTCTTGAAAGATTAAGAAATTATAATGGAAAGACTATTATAACTCTGAAACAAAATATAATTACAAAATTATCTTGATTTTTATCCCAAAATAACATCATGTTAAACTTAATATAAAGAACTTGAGAAGGGATATTCTCACTACCAAAATTTTTCACTACCAACTTACTACCTTCTAATTACCATTAGATTAATATTTTCTCTCTCTTCAAATTTTTTTTAACATTCTCTCTCTTTGATCCAATGATGACGTGATATGTATTAAGTTAATAGTAAGAATTTTTAGTAGTTCGAATATCCTTACTCAGATAACTTATCTAGGAGACGTTTAAAACGGAAGTCGTCAAATATGTTGTAATATCTCCTGTCTTTCTCATTGTCTCCGCCTAGGTTTATAGCACACTGTTGTTTTCATATTACTTATCCCCATTATGTCGTCGGTATTTTGACAATCAAATCAAAAGTTTTGAGGTTTTTGAATGGAATTTTGGATTTCCTCACCAGTTATAAAAACCAAAGACAGAGGAATGTTACCACTGACAGTACATGGTTGCTTTTGTGGGGACAAAGGTTATTTTAATAGTTGGGACTTGGGACATCATCAAATACTTCAGAAGTAACTGATCTCATGAATAATTGAAGTCACTCCGACCACTAAAACAAGTTGTAAATTGTTACTAATAACAATGGCATGCTTGCATAGCAGGGAAAGTATTTAGCTTGGAAAGGAAAAAGGCAATCATTGGAAGCAGAGGAGGATGACCCCTTTGTTCTCTTTACTAAAAAATTTCTTCATTTCTAAAAGACCATATGAAGGTGAGCGTCATCAATATTACATGTCCTACCGGCAGCTAAGTTTTTGGGCCTTGGAGATTGGATACACTTCTTTTGGTGGCAAAAAAAATTAAAATAATGCATTTAAATTAAATAATTACGTATTTAATGCTGTTTTATAAAAAATTACACATCTGCTGCACAATGTGATGTCCCAATGGGGCGTCATGTCCTACCGGCAGCTAAGTTTTTGGGCCTTGGAGATTGGATACACTTCTTTTGGTGGCAAAAAAAATTAAAATAATGCATTTAAATTAAATAATTACGTATTTAATGATGTTTTATAAAAAATTACACCTCTGCTGCACAATGTGACGTCACTTTTGGGCGTCACATGTGACGCCCCATTGGGACATCACATGTGACGCCCAAAAGTGGCGTCACATGTGTACTCTATATATTCTCACACCCCCTCCATTCAATTCACACATTTTCTCTCACTTTTCATATCTCTCTTCTCCACCAACATTTCTTTATCTTTAATTTAGTATTTGAATTTTATTCTTTATTCTATTTAAAAATGAGCTCAAATCCTGATTCTGTTCGTGTTGTGTTATATTACAATGGTAAGAAGGTCGACGAGGTGTCATTTTCGAAGGTGAAAAAAGGCCGACATGTATCCAACGCAACACAACCATTGGCGAACTGCATCAGAGAATTCGACAGAAGTTAAGTCTTCCAGACAACCAATGTATCACTGAGATCACGACAAGGGTGTGGCAAGGTGATAAATACATTAGTTTGAAAGTGCTTGACGATGAAGACTTGGAGATGACAATGAAAGAATTTTGCAACCAGTCAAGGACAGATTTTCTAGAGTTGTATGTCGACATCGCCGCAACCAAGAATGCTCCCTTACCGGTGATGTCAGTTTATTTAAATTCTCCTCGTCTTCCAGCTTCTCCTGCCGCTCATGCGTCTCCAGTTGGTAACTTTTCTGAGGGAGATGAAAATGATCCGACTTGGGAAATGCACGACGACGACGACGATGACGACGACGACGATGAAAATATGGCAATGGAAGAACGTCTTCTGGCGGAGGATGCTAGTGCTTCAGAAGGAGATGAATCCCGTGAGATGGGTGCGTCTCAAATCCCAATATTCCATCAACCAGTCGTCGCGCAAATGCCGCAGTTGAATGACATTGTGTCTGCCTCGTTCGGTATTCACCATGAAGGTAATTGATCCCATTTGTATATAGCTGAATAGATAACTGATTTAATACCTGAATTAGTAAGTTTGTATTAAAAAATTATAATCCGCAATTGCAGGTGACACAGATGTTATTCCTTTTTGGGAAGGAATTCCGCATTATTCCTACATTGATTGGAGTTATCGGAGCGAACAAGAATCATGTACTAATGGTTCGGTCTCTGGATCGGCTTCAATACAAGGTCCGTGGCAACTGGGTGACATGTTATTTGTCAATCAAGAATTTGCGACAAAAAAAGATGTCCAAATGGCACTTAAGCACACCCTCATTAAGGAGCATCAAGAAGCCATTGTAATTGAGAGCACGCCTTCAAAGTTGTCCATGAAATGTTGTACGTATGATCAAGGTTGTCTGTGGCGTGTAAGGGCGATCAAACCGGTGTTTCGTGAAAATTGGAAGATTACGAGATGGGGTGGAAAACATGAATGTGTGAATGAGCACATTTCCCAGGGTCATAGACAGCTCGATGTAGACGTTATTGCAGATCTCGTCATAGGTACGTATTTATTTACCGTAATGACATATCAATGTTTACGTACTGCCGTGTAATTAAATTCGTTCGATGTTATCGAGGCACTGATATCCTCTTCAATGCAGGGATGATAAAGTCAGAACCATCTGTGTCAATCTCTTTGGTGCAAGAAAGGATAACTGCTAAATATGGCTTTAAAGTTTCCTACAGAAAGGCGTGGTATGCGAAGCAGAAAGCGATGGCAATTATGTACGATGATTGGGAGGAATCATATGCTTTTTTGCCAAGGTGGTGCGAATACATGCTTCGCTTTTCTCCAGGTTCATTTTATCATATACAAACAAATGATCTTTATGCCGAGTAGAACTTAGTTTCTGAAAAAAAAATGCGCAAAGGACGACAAACAAAACATAAATAATAAAGCATAGTGAATAGTCCAAATAATATAATAATGTAGCGTCCACAAAATAACAACATGCTACAGTCATAACTAATACAAAATAACAAAATAATAACAATAGGAAACAGTCCACAACATAGTGAATACTCCAAATGGCAATGAAACTACGACCACGGTGGCCATGGCCTATGTCGTGCATCCCTATCTGGCAGTATACGTCTATCCCAGACTGGGTCTCCCTGATGCACCTGTGCATGTTCCTGTGGTGGTGGAGTGTGGAAGTCATCCATCGCCGCACAGATGAAATCATCTGATGGTCCTGCACTACTTCCTGGCACCTCAAAAGGGGTGTGTCCCTGACTGTGAGAATCCGTGGCTAGAGTCTCCCCACTGTCATGGCTCTCTGTAACAAGGCCTACAGAGCGATACAACTTAATCGTGTCCTCTGCAGACCAAAAGGGGTAATCGACATCAAGTCCCTGTGAATAGGGCTGGAAATCAGGCTGCGAGGATGCCGGATCCGCTCCTGCCATAGCCATCGGACTAGCCTGGAAAACTGGCTCCTGTCCGCTCATGTAAGGGTGCTCAGACACCGCCTGACTAGGACCTGCCGCATACTGCGATCCGTGATGATAAATCGGATGTGACCCGTAAGTAGGACCAATGACTGGAGGTTTGAACCATCCCTGAGTCTCGACCACTGGTCTCGGTGCCATAATCGGGACAAGCTCAGCAGCAAATCTCTCATGTCTACGTCCTAATCCGCGTCCCTCCCGTCTATTACGAGGAACATCCACGATCAACTGAGGATCAGGCTGTGTCTGCACGGGGGGTGCCTCAGGTCCAGGCTCATCAACTCGTGAACTCTCACGAAACATTCCAATAATCTGGCCAATCTCCTCGTGGATATACTCTAGGCCAAATCGAGGAAACTCCTCCGCCGTTGTTGCATGATAAAGCATTTCAAGACTGTCAATCTGTATATTACGAAAACATGTTAGAAATGTGAAACAAATGTAAAATATGTACAAATGATAGAATTTGTCGTAAACTCACCATGCGGCCTATCTTTGCTGCCCTCCGAGATATGTAGCGCTTTCCCCTCTCTCTCTCTCTACCACTCCATGTACGCATGATTAGGTGACATCAAACCATATAATGGAGGTGGCAGTACAATATGCTGAACCATGGTATTCCATCGATCAATGTGAGCCCTCAGCTTACGTCTCCAGTTCTCTTCAACCTTCCCCCGTAGAGTATGATCATGTATCCCTCTCAACTTTCTAAATTTATCCGGGATGGGTTGATCAAGACCGAACTGTCGCATGCACCTATCCGGTTGACATGCCTCTACTGTGTGGAAGTAGATAATGGGTGTGGCAGCAAGCCACAAGTACTGCTACTCTAGAGTCACGTCAAACCACTCATATTCGATATATGACTGTCACACCACCTACAAACAAAATGTTAAACAATATATAGAGTTACAAAAAAATAAAATAAACCCATAGAGAAATAACAACATCGTAAGTATCTAACACCTAACCTCATCTCTACACAGTGTGTCCAATGTTGCTCGATAATGGGTGACCTCATGAGGTTTAAACTTTTCTACAGTATTAAACCTGTCATCAGAAACATTCATTATCAATCATAATCAAGAAGTATACAGTTAGTATATACATTATCAACCATACATTATCGAAATCAAATGAAGTAAATAAATCATACCGGCATCCATAATGTGTGCCCGGCTCTGGATGAGGAGGAAGGGCTGGAGCAATGGGTGTGAATCGTATCCATGCCCAAATTTGAAGGAGAATATGGCAACCACCCATGTCAGTTCGACGGGCATCTGTTAATTCACACAAATTCCTGAACAAGTGTGTCAAAACCGCAGATCCCCAGCTGAATCGGCCAATGTCCTCAAATCCTCCACCTAGCAATGGGACAAGCCGGCAACCAAAATTGCTACCTCCAGACTTGTCCGCCAGCAACCAAGTCCCCAACATCCGGGCAATGTGGGCTTTTGTGAAGTAGATCTCGGCATCGTGATTCCCCTCATGATCAGTCCACCAGGTATAATGCCGATCCAAGAATGAGATGCGGAGGTCGCCGACAAGATGGAACTCACCGGCCTCTGGAACATGTCCAAAAACAGCAGCACAAGCAGCGTGCCAATCCTTGGAGGTCGATCCGGTGACGACAGTGCCGTCAGTCAGCAAGCCCAATATGCCTGCCACATCTTGTAAGGTGATCGTCATCTCACCTTGGGTCATGTGAAAGGTATGTGTCTCTGGTCTCCACCTCTCGACCAGAGCACTAATTAAAAATGTATCGATCTGTGATAAATTACGCAGTTATCACGTGTTAACGAATTTTATTGAATAATTACATAAATACAAAACGACGTAAATAACATACCTGGATATGTTGCATCCTGGCAACATGTATGAATCCCGCCTGTCTGAGGTACTCTTCGACAACCTGTGGAATAGCACCGGTAGGTGGCCCCCCTTGTGGCTTCCCACGCCTGGTCTTAATTTTCCTTACATGCTCTGTATTCCACACTTGCTGTGAAATATGAGCTTTCTGCGTCCTCTTACGAAGGACCTCCCATCTGTACGGCCCAGTTATGATCCACATGCTGGAATCGGTGGGCTCTACATCCGATGCAGAATCCGATGAAGATATGACTCAGCCATTATCCTCAACTATATAATATAAAACAACATTTAAATTAATCACATGTAATGCCCCATTTTATTTACAATTTAATTAAGCAGTGACACAATTGATTATCACAAAAATTAAGCATATGCGTCATTTATTTAACTAGAATCAAAATTTATGAAGTCCCGTCAAAACGTAGAACAATTATTTATTTGCAATTAAATAATAATAATACATCGGACAAAAATAATATAATACTAACTGAATATTTAACCCTAGGTCACTACCAACTTGTCTAATACGTACTGATCATCACACCTAACTAACTACAAAGTTATGCACTCCCGCATTAATAACATCATACATACGAAATTTACGAAGTCCCTAACACTATTTATAAATCACTAATTAATATGCTAAACCTTAATGCATAATTAAAATTTAATAATAATAACTACGTAATAATAAAATTACTATATCATTACAACATTCATAGCATGCCACAAAATTTCTAAGTGACTATCCTAATGTTCCAAGTCTCTAATATACAATCAATCCTAACATGTATTACTAACTAGCACTGTAATTTAAATGTATACATATGAGGTATTATGACCTTACCTACGTTGGCAGAGCTTCGCTACGAACCGCGGTTAGAGAGGTGAATGAGTAAGGAGTGAAAAAAGAAAAGTGGGGTATATATAGCTTCCACATGAGACGCCCCCTTTTGGTGTCACATGTGACGCCCCAATGGGGCGTCTTCCCCAAGGGAGAGATGCCTTACTGGGGCGTCACATGTGAGGCCCAAAGGGGGCGTCTCATTGTGCAACAGATGTGTAATTTTTTACAAAACAACATTAAATGCGTAATTATTTAATTTAAATGCATTATTTTAATTTTTTTTGCCTTCTTTTGGTAGCAAAAATGTTAATCTTCTTGTTTTCTTTTCCTTTGATCTTAATATTGAGGTCCTTGTGAGTTGTGATCAACTGTTGTAAAAACTAAATCATGGCAGGTCTTCTACGATCTACTGTAATGACATTGCATCTCCTTCTTTGAAAGGTCGGTTAAACAAACTAATTAGGTTTTTGATTTGACATCACCATCACCAAATTAATAAGAAATTTTTATTTGTTCAGCACATGCTTAGAAATGATGATTACAATTCTTACAGCTAAATAAACCCGATTAGCACCTAAATTGTGCAAATGCGTAAATAGAATTACAACAATCTGGTTATTGACCCACATCCGATTAGCATTAGTTAACATGTTTAAGTTCACAATTTACATTAAGAATCCGTTTGATTTGCTAAAAAAATAACAGATGAGATAATAAAAAAACAGTACTTTATTTAATTATTTCAATAACATAAATACCGGATAAATAACAATTCAAAGACAATACAAATCTCTAAATTTTGTTATTCACTAAAACCAAGTTACAAAATTTTATGTAAACAACTAATAACTCATAATACTCCTTTGTTATAACAATGTATCAAATGATATTATAATAAATAGATATGGAATAAGACTTTTAAGTGTCTTACTTCATATTCTAACCGTTGATTCTCCTCATTTAACGGTTATAATTTATTAATTAATTAGTTATTAATTTCAAATAAATGACAACCGTTAAATGAACGAAAATCAACGATTAAAATGATAAGTAAAACTTTTAAATCTTACACCAAAATCAAAAGATCCAATATTACTTTATTCAATCCATATGTATTACAACATTAGCATTTTCTTTTTCTTTTTTTTGCCCTCTAAGAATGTTGAAGACTTGGAGTTGTTAAATAAAACGATAATCATGCCCCTGGACCAGTACCGGTGGTTGGCCAGCGCACTGCACGAGCACAAAAAACACCAACTTTTTGTAGAGTATTTTTACCTATTGGCCCGAGTCTAAATTTTGATGTTTTTGTTTATTAAGGTACAAGGACTGTGACATCATAACTCGTGTTAGGAACATTCCTTCTTGTGAATGATCTCCTATGAACCTGAAAACACAAGCAAGACTTTTCCTTTTTCTTTAGTTTTCCATTCCTCTCACCTTTAAGTTCTACCCTCCATCCAACCTCTCTCCCAACCCCATATTCTTTTGAGTCATTGAGTGGGGTGGGAAGCTATGATATCAATACACTTATATCAATATATATAAAGTATTTATAAATGTGACACTATGTCTATGTCTTCTTTATATATCTTTTACTTGACTTTCTTGCCCTTCCATTCTACTCTTCTCTTTCTCTCTCTACACTTTCTTTGGGTAAGTCATCAACCTTCTCCTTTACCTGAGTCTACCCTTTCTTCTCTCTCTCTCTCTACAATTTTAGTCCTCTCAGGAGGTAGTTTAGTGTCATAATTGTGGAATGTAGCTTTACTCATTTTTCATGTGAAACCGTTCATGGTTGCTGGAACCTATTGAATAGTCTTCAATTACATCATTCTCTTAGGATACATTTACTTTGCCCAATTAATGCTCTAGCGGTTTTCTTCAATTACAGCATTTGGATGAAAATTGGGTAGAAAGGGTTGGTAGTAGAATTCACACTCACACATAATTTGCCATAAAAAAAAAAAAAACTTTTTTTTTTCTTTTCCTGAATTGGGTTCGTGGCAAATCAGGATCTGCTACTTTGGTGCTCCACAGTTTTGTCTTCTAGCTTCTGGAGTTTTCCATGGAGACAGATAACGGTGACACGAGGTCTAGGAAAATGGAAGATTATGAAGTGATTGAGCAAATTGGCAGGGGAGCATTTGGTTCCGCTTTTCTCGTTCTTCACAAGTCTGAGAAAAAGAGGTGAGAAAATGACACTGTTAACTGTTTCCTGTAACTGCTTAAACCATGCAACATAAATTATAGAAGATCCATTTTTTTAGTTAGAAAATGGATAACCCCATGAAGAAAAATTCAATCTTTTTTTATATTTTTGTGTTTGATTGTTGGAGTTGAAGCCTATAAAATTTGATAGCTTTTAGCTTTTCAACTTCAATTATTTCCTCTTCTGTGAACTGCTAAACCGTGCATCATGAAGTATTGGTGATTGATTATTTTTTTCAGTTAGATAATGGACAACCCAACAAAGAAAGTTTCAATTTTTTTTATTTTTTGTTTCTATTTTGAGAATTTCGTGTTTAATTGTTGGAATTGAAAACCCAGCCAATTCAATAGAGTTAGCTTGTCAACTTCAGTTTTTATTACTTTTCATGATGTCATCTCCGGTAGGTATGTGTTGAAAAAGATTCGCTTGGCCAAGCAGACAGAGAAGTTCAAACGTACAGCACACCAAGAGGTTGGTGTAACAAATCCTTCCATCTGATTCATATACTCAGTATCCACCGTGCAATTATTTATTTATTTATTTTAATATATTCTCTACTTTCCTGAATGATTGGACAAGCAATCCTTTTGCACCAAATTACTCACATTACTGTCTTATTTCTTCACTTTGTTTAATTTTTTGGTTCTTAATCTGTTCTAATAGAAAAAATAAGCAGTAAAAATCTATCTGTTTCCTACCATTGTTTGAGTCATACATGATGCTTGTATGAATCAACCCAGTTATTTGTACTGCTCAGTGTCTTTATATTTCTGTTCCATGATGATCTGTGAATATGCAATTGCTGGCTATGCTTCTTTCTGACTACAAATAAACCAGTTATCTGAATATGTAGTTAATTCAAGATGCAGCATCCCCGCTGCACAGAAACGGACAGTGACTTTAGTAAACTCACATTGAATTAATTTCATTGATGAAATCATGTAGCCGTAGGTGAAATGCTGCTCAATATTGTTTTCTAAAGTGCTGATCAAACTTACAGAGAAGAGGATATTTGTTTTGTGAATATTATTATGTTTACAAAATGCTGTGAACGACATATGACACATTGTTTTCGTTTTGAGCCAAGTGTCATCTTAATGTAGGTTTTGTGTAAATATATGAAAGTATTCTTAAATTTTATAATGATTTAACAGACTTCAGTGCTAAGAGGTTGTGTGAAGTTGAATTTGAACGATAACTTTCTGTATAGTCGCATAGTGACAAAATCTATCATACTGTTACAGATGAACCTGATTGCAAAACTAAATAACCCATACATTGTGGAGTACAAAGATGCTTGGGTGGAGAAGGTAGCGACATTATCTTTTTTTTTATTTTTTATTTTCAGTTGTACATTCATATAGAAATGAAAAATTAAGTTTGAAGATTTATAGATATATCAGCTTATTATGATGTTTATCACTCTTCATAGGCATGTTTCTGATATTTCATGTTTTGTAGGAGGACCATATATGTATTATAACTGGCTATTGTGAAGGAGGTGACGTGTAAGTAAAGTAATATCTGTTGGTAACACTGATTATTTCTTGCATAAATTAAGGATCATAGCTTGTTGGTTTTCAATTAATCTTGGTAGATAAGAAAACGTTTATTAGCAATCCACATTTAAATTGTTAACCTAAAAGCTTAAGCTATTAAATAAGGATCAAAGAATGGTTGTGATAACTCCTAACACATCCTTTCAGATGAAGGCCTACTGGACTTGTAATGTGGATTGTGGACATTACACAAATTTCTGTCTTCGACTGAAACTACACAAAACTTTATGTTGAATTTTTTCTATGGGAGAAAAGTGTTATACTGATTTTTAATTAATAGTCTGGGGATGACAAGTATTAAATTTTAGAGAGAGTCAATCTGATTTCTCTGTCATGTTAACGAGATCCTTGGCCTAGACCTAAAAGGTTAAGGTGTTAGAAAAGGCCCAAGAACCTTTTTTGAAACTCTGGCATAAGCATGTTTTCCATTAATTGCAGTATGACACCATATAGAAGCTTGATAGACAGAGATACCTATATGTTCATTTACTAATCTCAATCACATTCTAAATTTGAGATGAAATACACTTAGATACGAGATTTGGGATTCTGTGGTTCTTATGTATTTCATAAAAGATAGTATATATGCATGCATTTATATGCTACTGAGGAGAAACATAAACAGTGACATGGAGTCCTAATCATGGAACCTTGCATTCTTTGTGGAGCAGGGCTGAGAACATAAAGAAAGCTCGAGGATCATTTTTTCCTGAGGAGGTAACTAATACGGTTAATCTGCCATTCCTTAATATTTCCTTATATGAGTATTCCTTACCCACTCTGGATCACCAATTTCTCTTACAGAAGGTCTGCAAATGGTTGACTCAGTTGTTGATAGCTGTGGACTACTTGCACTCTAATCGTGTAATCCACAGAGATCTTAAGGTGTTACATATTCCCTTATCCTGATAAAGAAATCCTTTAAATGATATTTATATTAACACAACATCATTTAATTTCAGTGTTCCAACATATTCCTCACCAAAGACAACAACATTCGGCTTGGTATGAAGCATTATCCCTTGAAAGATCATCTTTGGCCTTCATGTACTCTGTTATCTAAAAGAATATATTTATTGCTTGGACCATACAGGTGACTTTGGTCTTGCAAAGCGACTTAATACGGAAGACCTTGCTTCCTCGGTATTGTATATATGTTTACTAAGTTAGCATTTATCTGATGCCTTCTTCAAGAAACTTAATTGTATTTTATTCCCTAGTAATGGACTATCATACCAAGCAATTGATGCTCTTCAGCTTAGAATAGATATTTCTGCCTATGATCCTATACTTTTTATGCATTGAACTTCTGATTATTATTATTAATGATCCTATACTAGATTCACAAAGTGATAGCTGCTTATCATTTGTACCCTTCTTATATTTTCTCTAGGTTGTAGGAACTCCAAATTACATGTGTCCTGAGCTCCTCGCTGATATACCCTATGGTTATAAATCTGATATGTGGTCTCTTGGTAAGGATCATGGATATCTTATTCTAATTGACGATGCTATATGATATCTGACCTTGTGTAAGAATGATATCTCTTTGTCTGTAAAGGTTGCTGCATGTTTGAGATTACTGCACATCAGCCAGCATTTCGTGCTCCGGTAAGAACTTGAACCATCTGCAGTTTAGTTTTATTAATGGAAATGTAGTCTCTGTTCTTTGATATATTTTAATCTAGCAAAATAATTTAAAAAAATGAATAAATGAATGAAACAGGACATGACTGGACTTATCAATAAAATAAACAGATCCTGCATTTCTCCACTGCCAATTGTTTATTCTTCCACACTGTAAGTAAATTCTTCAAACCATTCCTAGTCACACTGCTGTCATTATTTTTTTAACCTCTGCTTTTGGTCAATGATTTAAATTTTTTCCTCAAAGTGAATCCACATATATTTAACCAAGCAAAGTTTCCTAGTGAATTTTGCACGTATAATTGCATAAACTTTTTTCCCTTTCTTTCCCCTCTTTATATTTCATTATAATGATAGAATTGAAAGATGATGTCCTTGTAACAGGAAACAAATTATCAAGAGCATGCTGAGGAAAAACCCAGAACATAGGCCAACAGTGAGTTCAACTGAACCTATCTTGTATGATTAATTTTGGATGGAACTGTTGATTCTAATGCTGCTTCTCTTTGTTGACAGGCAGCCGAATTGTTAAGGCATCCGCATTTACAACCTTATGTTCTTCGCTGTCATAATGCATCATCTAATGTTCTTCCAATATATCCTATAGTTAATTTAAAGGATAAAACAAGAAAATCTTATAAATCTAGTGGTGGTAAGGACCATAGGGACAAAAAAGCAGGATTAGTAAATCATTTGGAACGGGTTCATCCAATTGAGGGAAATGGAGATGTACAGCCGAGCAATCTTCCTAAGGATGGCAAGGTTACAGTCTCAGCCTGTGCAGAAGATCACCTTGAGACAAAGATGGTTGATCTTACCAGCTACATAGTGGAATCTTCTACTAGTATTAGTGGCTCAAAAGATGGGTCAACAACATCTGAATCAACTATTTGCAGTGCGTGCAAGGAGGACTTTAAAAGTAGACATGCAAGGGAAACAGCTGACAGTGAGATCACTTCGAAGAGTACGCAAGATTCTGTGCATGAAGAACAAGGATTTTCTGCTGAACATTTTAAGAAATTAGAAGGGGTTGACATAAATGCAGTGACCACAGAAGTTGAAGATGCTTTTTCCAATGAAGGTTTTGATAATGCTGAAGCTCAGAGGGAAGATGGCAAAATTGAGGACTCAAGTAAATCAACAACGACCAGTGCAGACAGTAGTAGCACTGATAAAGATAAGTCCATTAATGAGGAAAGGCCATCACTAATTGTGCATCCTATATTGGTTGAACATGAAACTGAATCTGGAAACTGCTCAAAGAAAATTGAAAACCCTGATGCATTTAAAGAAGGCTCACATATGAACTGCTTGTCATCTGAAAGTAATAATACACTTCCAGTTAAGGATGATGATAGAGCAAAATCACACAGTATTTGTTCAACGCATAAAGAAGATGATAATGCAGTTGAGGATGATAAGACACCGACTGACATTTCATTCAGTGCACCTACTGAAAAAGGTGGTGATGAAACAATCAAGACGGTGTTGAATAGTCCTTGCCAGCAAAGAGCTGATGCTCTTGAATCTCTACTTGAGTTATGTGCTCAGCTACTTAAGCAAGATAAACTTGAAGAGCTTGCAGGGGTGCTAAGACCTTTTGGAAAAGAAGCTGTCTCATCCAGGGAAACAGCAATATGGCTCACAAAGAGCCTCTTATCCGCCCAAAAATTTAATCCTGAAACCTAGTTCATAAGTTAATTTATACATTATTGTGAGAAATGTGTATTTCAAAATGTCACATAAGTTTCTTCCTTCTTGATTGTTGCTTGCTTGAAGATTGGATACTGGAAAATAGCATGTCACATATTCTTTCCTGGTAAATGAATTAAATTATTTTTGTTAGGATGTATATTATTCACTGGTGTTTTCCTCCAGGTTATAGCCATTGATTGCTTGAATTTTGTCACGTCCCCTCCGAACTAAAAAATAACCATAAACTTGGAACTCATTGTTTTATTTATTTGGTTTATTTGTTAGAAGACATCCCGGTCCACATGACCATATTATTCTCATTATCTGGTGAATATTACTGTTACGAAGAGGAGCTCCACACGTGTAAGGAGTTATCCCACTAAACTCAATGACTACGTGGCATAGCAGTTAGGCAGTTAGAGGTTGTTGAGTTACTGTAGGAGTTAGTTAATAACAGCAGTGTAATGGTTAGTTAATCAAATGTATAAAAGCTGGTGATGTAAAGATCAAAGGCATTCAATAAAAATTTCCTTGAATTGTTCTGTTTTTGTTCTTTCTCTCATTCTTAGGGTTCAATCCCTAACAATTTGGTGCTTTCATTCTTGAACCCCAACATCTTCATGATGCGCGTTCAAGATCTTGGTTTTCTACCTTTCAGCAACGAGTTGATGGACGCCTTGCAGATCATCAGATACAAATGACTCGCGTTGAGTCACGTCTCGAAGATCACCAAACGCAGATGCATCGAGTTGAGGCTCGGTTGGATGAAAATCAGAATCAGATGACGTTGATGCTCGCACAGTTGCAGCAACTCAATAACAATTTTGTGACGACAGATCCACGAGTGAATATGAGACCTCGGGAACCTTCTCAACGTTCTCCGATTCCTCCACAGTTCTCAAATTCTCCGTCGTCGGGTGGTGCACGTTCTGATCTTAATCTTTCCAAATCCATCAGGCTAGAAATTCCACTGTTTAGTGGCACTGAGCCTAACAATTGGATTTTCAAGACATAACTATTTTTTCATCTTCAGCAAATCCAAGAGGAATTCAAGGTTCCATTAGCGGGTTTACACATAGAAGGTACTGCTGGTGCTTGGTACCAGTGGATGTATCACAGTGGCACAATTTGCTCCTGGGGAGATCTAGTGATTGCCTTGCGTCAAAGGTTTGGAGTTTCTGCCTTTACGAATATCAAAGGAGTTCTTTCTAAACTCTCTCAGTCAGGTGCTTTACGAGACTATATTAGAAATTTTGAGGCGTTATTGAATCAGGTCCCTGGGTTGGATGATAAATTGTATATGAGCTTTTTTGTGCCTGGTCTGACTCCTGAACTTAGAAGTGCAGTTCAGCTTCGCACTCCATCCACTTTGCATTTGGCAATGCAAATTGCACTTGCCTATGATGATCACCATTCTGAATTGAAAACTTCTTTTTCTGTGGGTCAGAGGAGAGGATTTTCCAAACCATTCACACCCAGTGAGACTCCACCAACTTCAACTTCCAATAAACCTGCATTGCCAGCCCCAAATGCCAATCAAACTTTGGCATTACCAGCACCTCACATGATGAAACGTTTATCTCATGAGGAATTACAGCAGAAGCGTGAGCAGGGCTTGTGTTACTATTGTAATGAAAGGTGGAATGGTAAACACAGATGTAAAAAACGTTTATTACTGCTCATAGGTGACATTGATGAATCTGATAATGAAGCAGAGGGGGAGGATATTGTTTGGAAATCAGACAAGGATAATCAGGAGGTCAAGGATGCAACCTTACATGCTATGGGTGATCCTTCTATTGGTCATGCTTTCAGGTTCACAACATCAATTTCAAATAAGGAGGTTAGTGTGCTAATTGATTCTGGTAGTACTCAAAATTTATTCAATTGAATTTAGCTCTTGAATTAAGTTGCCAATCATTAGAGTTAAAAAGCTGCGAGTTTTTTTGGGCAATGGTGAGTTTCTAATAGCTGACCGTAAATGTTGTAATGTCCCAATTGAGTTACAAGGTATCATATTCCTTGTAGACTTGTGGTTGCTCGAATTAAGTGGTTTGCAGGTCATATTGGCTATGCCTTGGTTGGAAAAACTAGGTAGAGTTACTCATGACTACTTGAAGGGTTCTATGGAATTTATATGGCAAGGTAGAGAAGTGATTCTCACAGGAGTACAAGATGCTCAGTTACATACCAGTGCAGATCAAGTGAATGTCTTGTATACGGGTATGTGTTTTGCAATATCCCAAGGTATTAATTCTGTTGAGGGGGCCAATCTTGAATTAGCTGGAATTCAAGATCAGATAGCAGCTGATTTGTGGCAGTTGTTATTTCAATTTCAAGATGTTTTTCAAGTGCCACATGAGTTACCTCCATTTAGAGGTTTGGACCATGCAATCCCTATCATTGACAAGGCTCAGCCAGAGAATGTTAAGCCTTATAGATATGCTCATTGTCAAAAAAATGAGATTGAACAACAAATTTCTGCATTACTGTCCAATGGCTTCATTCGACATTCTCAAAGTCCCTTTTCCTCTCCTGTTTTGTTAGTCAAGAAACAGGATGGATCATGGCGAATGTGTATTGATTATAGAGCCCTCAATACCATCACTATTCGAGATAGGTTTCCTATTCCTACTATAGATGAGTTGCTTGATGAGTTGGGCAATGCTTCAGTGTTTACTAAATTGGACTTACGGGCTGGATATCACCAAATAAGAGTCCTTCCTGCAGATGTGGAGAAGACAACATTTCGGACACATGAAGGGCACTACGAATTTCTTGTAATGCCCTTTGGATTGACAAATGCACCAGCAACTTTTCAAGCTGTGATGAACCAACTCTTTAAACCGTTTTTGAGGAAGTTCATAATTGTTTTCTTTGATGACATCTTGGTGTTTAACAAGTCTATGACTGATCACATTGCTCATTTGCGCATAGCCTTGATGAACTTACAGCATCACCAGTTCTTTGTTAAGGTTTCTAAATGCAAGTTTGGAGCTTCTTCAATTGATTACTTGGGTCATATTGTGTCCAAGCAAGGAGTACAAGCCGATCCTAAGAAGATAGTGGCCATGGTGAATTGGCCCGAACCTAGATCCCTGAAGCAGTTGAGGGGATTTTTGGGCTTAACAGGATATTATCGAAGGTTTGTGCAAGGTTATTAACTGATCTCTTGAAGGCTAGCAAGGAGTTCCATTGGTCTGATGCAGCTATTCAAGCTTTCAATCGACTTAAGGAGGCAATGACCAACACTCCTGTCTTGGTTTTACCCAATTTCCAGCTTCCTTTTGTCATTGAAACAGATGCTTCAAACACTGGGTAGGTGTTGTCCTCTTACAACAGGAAAGACCTCTTGCATTTTTTAGCAAGAAATTGGGAAGCAGGATGGCCAATGCATCTACATACGTCAGGGAGCTCTATGCTATAACAGTGGCAGTGAAAAGGTGGCGCCAATATCTCCTTGGAACCTTCTTTACTATAAGAACAGACCATAGGAGTATTAAGGAATTACTTACTCAAACCATCCAGACTACAGAACAACAGAAATATATGTGCAAACTAATGGGGTTTGCATTCAGAATTGAATGCAAGGCATGTAGCTCCAATATAGTAGCTGATGTATTATCTAGGTGTCACGATGAAGCCTCAATTAATGCTTTGTTTTCTGAACCAGTATTCGAAGTTCTAGAGGAAATTAGAGGCCAAAATGTGAGTGATCCATATCTCATTCATTGTCACCAACAGGTGCAGGATGACCCGAATGCAGTGACCTTTTTGACAGTACGAGAGGGCATTGTGTAACACAAGAACAGATTCCTCTTAAGTCCTAAATCTTCTCTAATTCCTGGTTTGATTCGAGAGGCACATGCATCCCCTGTGGGCGGTCATGCTGGAATAGCACACACCTTTCTGCGTATTTCAGCTAATTTTTTTTGGACCAGTATGAGGGGGGATGTCAAACAATTTGTTAAGGGTTGCTCCACTTGCCAACAGGTCAATTATGAGACCACTAAACCAGCAGGCTTACTTCAACCTTTGCCCATTCCAGAAGGCATCTTTGAGGATCTGTCTATGGATTTCATAGTGGGTTTACCACCTTTTAATGGCAGTTGCACGATTTTGGTGGTTGTGGACAGGCTATCCAAGTTTGCATATTTTGGAAAGCTTCCCCGTTCTTATACATCAGCCATGGTGGCTCAACTGTTCTGTGATTTAGTTGTTGAAATCATGGTTTTCCTCGCTCTTTATTGACTGATCGTGATCCATTATTTGTCAGCTAGTTCTTGTCCCAATTGTTTAAGAAGAGTGGAACCAAATTGCATACCACTTCCTTGTATCATCCACAATCCGATGGACAGACGGAAGTTACCAATAGATATCTCGAACAGTATCTGAGGGCTTTCTGTCATGAACAGCCTTTGCATTGGTCACGATTCATTAGCTGGGCTCAGCTTCATTATAATTCATCGGTTCATTCATCTATTGGTATGACCCCATATGAAGCTGTATATGGCAAGCCTCCTATACTGATCCCTCATTATCCAAGGGGACTGTTGAAGGTAGAAGCTGTGGACTCCATTTTGACTCAACGAAATGAAATCTTATCTCGTTTGAAGGCTCATTTACAGAGAGCTCGCAATAGAATGGAGGTCCAGGCAGACAAGAATAGACGTGATCGCACATTCCAGGTGGGTGACTTAGTATGGCTACGTTTACAACCTTATAGACAGGTTTCTGTTGTCCGTAGAGCAAATCATAAGTTGGCTGCTAGGTTCTTTGGACCTTTTCCAATTGCAAGAAGTTGAGTGATGTTGCCTACAAGCTGGAGTTACCACTTGGTAGTCAGATACATCCCACTTTCCATGTTTCATTATTGAAGCCTTTTGTCCAGTCTGAAAGTTCAGCAGCAACTATTCCTCTTCCCTTGGTGGCCATAGACAATAGGCCAGTACAAGAACCACTAGCAGTGGTAGCCAAGCGCCTGATTCAATCTAATAGAGCACCCCACTATCAGTTTTTGGTCCAATGGACTCATTCTGTGCCTGAAGACTCGACTTGGGAGACTCAAGAAGACCTTAGGAAGTGTTATCCTACCTTGAACCTTGAGGACAAGGTTC